GTTAAACAAAAACCACTTGCTCTGAGTTTGATCCTGGACCACCATTGAGCCTGTCAGTTTTGCTGGGGTTGCCAGGGGTGAAATCCTCATGAGACATGGATGCCGCTGTGCATACCAATGTGAACTGTTACCTAGATAGGTACCTACCTACCTAGGTACCTCATCTACCTGCCCAGTACCGGCATTTACCTACCTGCCACACCCTTCTGGATAGGCAGCATTGTTCAGTAGGAACTTCCAGTTTTTCAATGCCGCGATGCAGTAATTAAACCCGGGAAACAAATATTGCAAGACAGGAGGCACCGATGATCAATTTCCTTTTTCTGAACAAATCTCATCCCCCCTTGTCTCAAATTCTACCCCTTGGCAGGAATGTCTTGTGAGGAGGCAGCTCCCACCTGGAATGAATGAGGCTGGGGCCAGATATGTTTATTAGTATGCCTGTCAAAACAACAGCACTCGATGGCCAATATGAGTCTTGATAAATCGTGGACATGCCTCCCGAAGTCGCATTTGTAACCTTCCATTGACCCCGTTTTCTTTGTTCATTTTTTAAAATCCTGAACAAACCAGCCATTTTTCTTCTTCCAAATTGTCACAGTAATTACCTACCATTCAGTTCATCATGAAGCTATTCCAGGCCCTGATCGGGTCTCTCCTGGTTGCCCTCACAGCAGGCCAAGTCAGTATGTATTCCGTCCATCACCATCATCATCTCCGTCCAACCCGTCCTTTGGCTAGCAATATCTAGTAACTAATCAAGGTGAATTCCGCATGCAGCCTGCACAAATGACAACTGCATCAACCGCATCATCAATCTCGGAACCCAGCTGGGCCGGGCATACTGCTTTACCTACCTCGCCCCGGCCGTCTCTGGCGCTGTCGAGACCGTAACCTCGCGCCAGACGGTCACTGCGCTGACGACGCGCACGACGACGGCCACTCCGGCCGTGACATCTACGATTCGGACGTAAGTGCTCTACTACTACTACCATTGCCAACTCAATATTTATTTTTTTCTTGCTTTCCTTTCCGAGTGAGCTTTTGGGGCTCTGTTCATTTTTTGTTATTAATTAATAACACGGGGTTTTCCGTCGTTTCTCAGTTCCGTCACCACGACCGAGGTTGTTCTGGGTCCCCGACAGATCATCGCCACCGGCATCTCGAACAGCGTTCTCGCGGCCTGCACCCAGAACGCCGTGAGGGTCACCAGCGCCTGCATCTGCTACTTGGATCGGCCGAGGGTTGCTCTGCCAGGTGTTTAGAATTTTCGGGGGGTCGATAATGAATTAATAAGGGTTCCTGCGGCCTATAAGATCAGTCATGATTCTTGGTTTATGAAAGTGATGCAGGGTTGTCGGACATGGAGGGATAGTCCACGAAGAATTCAAGACTGAAGGGGCGAAGAGGGGATGGAGCTGGGAAAACTTGGAACGGATGGAGGAGGTGATGTGCACGATGAATTGGTAGCACTTAATTACATCTAGATGCTACCTTACTGGTTGAAATTCTGTATCATTTATTCCAGCGTTAATCAACTTTCAGGCGAGGGTACATGTGCAGATCCGAGTAAGGTATGCCATGTTGGGAATAGAAGCTGAAGACTAAAATGATTTTCAACGTCTCAGGTGACTGAAGACATTGTGAAACTTGCCCATGACAAAATATGAGAGCTGGAGGTTTGACTTTTGGTAGCATATCGTCTTTGCTTTAGACTAGGTACCTTCTTGTATATACATGGATTCTAACCAAGCAAATGCCCAACCCTGATTGGAGATTTCAAAATTTGAAATCCCATCATAAGTCTGACGTGTGTTGTTATTTTCAAGCACCAATAGTCTTCAGCGCGGCACCGGCTGCTCCAGACTCAATCATCCGCTGCAGAACTTCCAGGTCCTTGAGAGCTTGCTCGGGAGTCTGCAGGTCAGCAATCTTACCCTCCTCAATACCCTGGGCGAATGCCGCAACCTCAGGCTTGACGCCTGAACTCCAAGGGAACTCCTTCGTGCTCGTCTCCTGTCCAGTTCCATCACCCTTTCTCTTGGCAACTTTGACATACGTTGGGTTCCAAGTGACCGACCCGTTTGTGGTGACGATTTCAACCTCAAATCCGTTCTTGAACTCGGTTCCGAAGCTAATGACAACCGTTCCGCTCTTTCCCTCATTGGTAAGCGCAACAGCTTGGACGGTATCAACCGGGATCAGCCGCTCTTCCAACAATCCGCTGTACCCCACAAGCTGCTTGAGCTCCTGGCCCGCAGCACCCAGAAGGTATCTCAACCCAGCAACAAAGTGCACGCCTCCGTCGAGGAGGAACCCACCCTGGTGGGAAGGTGTCTTGCGCCCTAATCATTGTGTCCGTCAGTGCCACTATCTATAACCTTCGCTCGATGAAGAACAAAAATAAAACACTCACACTCAGTCTTGTAATACTTGTTCTCGGCCTCCACGAAGCCGTACCTCTCCATCCTGAACGTAACCAGCTTTGCTCCCTCCCGAGCCGACAGCAGCTCCTGAAGCTGGTCCCCGGCAAACTTCAAGCTCTCCATGTACCTAAAGTTCTCGGCCACGCCCCAGAGCGGCTTGTTCTCCCCGTCCAGTCCGTGGTACCACTTGATCAGCTTCTGCGCGCCCTCGACGTCGGCGGCCACGGGCTTCTCGGACAGCACGTGCTTGCCGGCCTTGAGCGCCTTCTCCACAATCTCGGGCTGGTGCGGAATGGGCAGGACGATATCCACCGCGGCGACGTCGGAGCGGGCCAGCAGGTCATCCAGCGACTTGCCGGACGCGGCGGGGGAGGAGTAGTAGAGGGCTACATTCGGGCGGACGGATTCGGGCAGCGAGGCGGCCAGGGACTCGGCCGAGGACTGGCTCCGGGAGTAGATTGCCACGAGGTTGAACTTTGATGCGAGGATGGCGGGGAGATGCTCTATTTTTTATTTTGTTATTTTTTTTTTTTTCAAGAGAAGAGGGGTCAGATGACGTCATTGAGGTTTTGAAAAGTTGAATCTGGGGAAGTTAAATGTGTTTTTGTGTGTTTTTACCTTCAGTGGCGTAGATGCCAGCGCCGAGGAGAGCAATGCCTGTCATTTTTGTAGTTTTGTTGAGTGGGACGGTGAGGGCCGTGATGGTTGTGCTGGAGGCTTGCGGTGGCTTATGGTGAGGTGTATTCTCCGTGCGCGCCGTGAATTTCTGGGAGAAAACCGAAAGTGGGGATACCGCAGCGTGGATTTGCGGCATCGGCCCCGGGGTGGTGGGTTTATGGAGCATTTTTGTCTTGGCAACTTGCGAAGCAGTAGGCACCTATCTTATCGTCTTCTTCTTTCTCAGCTTTGCCAGACCGAGATGAAACTCATGATGCTGTTTTTCGTGGTCGTGTTTACAGACCACTCCCTCATTATTTTCACCTTTCACGTGCACATCACGTGAGTTGCAATGCATCTCCCATGCTTCACCTGTGGCAGATTGCCAGGTGCTTTGCACATGACATGTACCGTTTGGTTGCTGTTCGATTGTCCACATTCATAACCGTTGACCGCGCTGCTGGCACGGTCGAACTCTACCGCCTGGATATGGCAAATGAGCATTCCTTCAAGATACAAGTTATCCCGTCGGGAAGTCAAGCCCAACATCCTAATAAGACTACTGCGTACTATAAGTGGACTGCGCCCACAAGGAACAGCTCGGAGACTCCGCCCCCTTCCCCACATAAACACCGTTCCCTGTCAACTTGCAGCCAGTGATAGCATTGCATACACAGTAAACAGCATCCTCGTCCGGGGACAACTCACCTCCCAGTTTAGCTCGTCGGTAGCGAACACCGCTCCCGACGCCATGAATAGGTAATTGTCCTTCAGCAAGTGCTTACCCTCAGGCAACGGCGATGAATTGTCAAAATGATCGTCGAGGAAAAGGGGCCCCTGGCGGTAATCATGGCTGTCCCTGAAAGATCTTGATCAAATATAAAAAGGACCGCTGCTTTGCTTCTATGCCTGCTAGAAAACACTCACAGCTCCATTCACAGCCGGCCACCATCAACAAACTCAATTCCCTTGCTGCCACAACTCATCGAGCCACTCTCTCGACCAACCACTCCCCCTCAACATGAAGTTCTCAGTCGCATTTACTCTGGGCCTCGCTGCCCTTGCCGACTTGGCCGCCGCCGAAGGTAACTTCAAGAACACGTGCAAGACGGACTGGTACGTGGAGGACGGCCACTACATGGTGGCGACCTGCAAACGCAAGGACGGATCCTACATGAGGACTAGGCAGGATATGAACCTCTGCATCGGCTACTACAAGAGCAGCGGTGTTCTGCTGGGGCAAGACAAGTGAGTTCTCCGTGCCATCTCCATCATCCCCCTTACGGTAGCATACCGGAACCCCGGCCGAGACCAAGAAGCTTAGCAGAGCTAACCTGCCGCAGCGGACGTGCCTGGAACAATTGCATCAACATGCAAAAGGCAGGAGCAGGAAGCATCAAGGGCTCATGCAAGAGTCGAAACGGCGTCGGCATGTGGATCGAGAGTACCCTCGATATCAGTATGTATACCTAATCTGCTCCCGTCCTCCCACCCCCCCAGGCCGTTTTCCTACCTACCTGGGTATTATACCTTCGGCGCGAGTTTCTAACATTGTTGCCAGATCAATTCACTACCAACCAGGACGGTTATCTTTGGTGCTTTGGCCATCGCTCCGCCCCCCACTAAAGCTTCGAGCTTAGGTTGGGGTTCGTCACTAGGTGGATAATGATAATGATAATGCTGTGCACAGATTGAGAAGTCATTTTTTAACCTTTCTCATTTATTATCTATAAGATGTGACAGTTTGGGGATTTTGTAATTATAAGTCGTTTTAGCTTAAGTACTAGATGGGCTTGGGTTCTGTATATACAGAGGAGGGTTTCGGATGTAATATCTTGGCCCAGGGAGGGATTTTTTGGATTTGGTATATAATATGAATGCAACAAACTGAGTCTCCAACAGTTGTTTGGTAACCCAGGGTGACTAGTCTAGTGGTCAGGACGCTTCGTTGTGGCTCAAAATTCCATTGAACATAACGACCGAAGAAACCCCGGTTCGATTCCGGGGTCGCCCAATATCTTTTGCTTTTTTTTTTTTTTCCTTTCACCATAGTTTTTTTTCTTATATTTTTTTCTTTCCCCTTCGGTTTCAAGTTTATCTTGAATCTTTTCTATCCTTTCTTATTTTTTTGAGCTTGGCCTCAGTGCCAAATGGATTCACACAAACGCTACCCTTTGCGTAGGCAGTACAGTCTGATCTTTGGTAACTTGAACGAACAACAGCAGAGATATACCGATAATCGGGGCTAGGACGGTCGGATTGGCTGCCAGTGGCGCGGTCGGTTTTTATTGTGCTAAAATGGCAGGCTCTTTTATTACCTAAACACGATGAAAATATCTTGTTGCCTTTCTCTGTTTCATGGATACTTGGCAGCCAAAGTCTTCTTATCATGAGATAGCAATATCAGTGCTGGTGACTACCTACCTAAGCGAAGATCCTACGTATAGGGCTGATGTTGAACTCAAGTCCTTTTAGGTAGGTCGTCTAGGTTAACGGGTGCGTACGGGGAATTCGGTCCGTGCGGCGGTTTCCAGCTAACGGATAGCCGGGTTATCACGGGCAGATTAGCGCGATCGTTATTGCAACGCTGGACTGTTGTGGTTCGAGATTTGCGTGGGGTGTTGCTGACTTGCTGCAGGTGCTGGCAAGGGTATTTTGTATGTCGTGTCTTACAAGTACCTAGTCGATGCTGTGTGGGTGGGCGGGCTTGCGGAAAATCGGCCCGGCCAAGGCGGCTTATGGAACATGTTGTCTTGGGAACTTTAAGAGGAGATGGATCTCATCACTTAGTTCTTGGTGGCTTTTGATGAATCGTCTTTCCGGCCACTGGTGAACTCGTGGTGCTGTTTCTGTTCCTCGTGATCGTGTTAAAAACAAATTGCAAGCCCGTCATGCTTAGATTCGGCCTCAGCTTCACGTAGACATCATGTGAGCTACTAGCTGCCATGACTCTCGCGTACTTCTTCGCCACCATCAACGGATATTTCCGTGCTCACAGTTGCTCGATTCCTTTGATATGAAATTCTAAAGCCTCATACATGGAGCGGATTTACACAACGTCGTCCCCGTCACGGTCAGAATTTAGATAATGGATATCACCTCAACGCAGTCAAGGTCGTATCTTGCTACCCACTCGACGTCGATAATCTCGCAGATTGGGAGTTTTTTGCAGATATATCCCGTCGGGAAGTTCAATCTCAACGGGGAGGAACCGCCGGGAGACTCGGCGCCTCTCCGTCCCCCCTTGTGAACTTCGCTGCAGCCGGTGACGGCGCCGCATAGTTCGACAATATCACTCACCTTGAGGCAACAACGAGTGGCCAAAATGGTCTTTGCGTGTTTTATCAGAATATAAAAAGGGATAGCTGCTCCCCAGTTATGCTCATCAGAAACAAACTCACCACTCTCATCCTCATCACAACTCATCAAGCCACTCATCGACCACGACCATCCCCGCATCAAACATGAAGCTCTCACTCGGATTTACGCTCGGCCTCGCCGGCCTTGCTCAGTTGGCCGCTGCTGACAATGGCTTCAAGGACTCGTGCAATTCGGACTGGTACGTCGAGGGTGGCCACTACATGATCGCCAACTGCAGACGCCCAGACGGGTCCCTCGTGAGAACCAGGATGGACTTGAATCTTTGCATGGGTCGAAACACGGCCAACGGCTCGCTGTTGGGAAAGCAAGGGTATGGAATGCTCCCCTCCCCTTTATCGAGAACAGCTGGAGCTAACCACCGTCTCGCAGCGGAAATGCCTGGAACGCCTGCACCGACCTACGAAAGGCTGGAGCGGCAAGCATCGGGGGCTCGTGCCTAAACGGCCTCGGCTATTGGGTCTATAGCACCGTCGATATCAGTATGTCTCATTCCACTTTTCCTCGATCGTTTTACCGTAATTACCTATGGAGCTCTAACACTGTTGCCAGATCAATTCATTGGAAACACCAACGGTTACCTGTCGTGCTACCGCCAGCGTGCTCCTACTTACTAAAGCATTCAAGAGGTGGGAACCATGGGGCTGTCTAGCCGGATGGTGATGATATTTCGGCTAAGTCCACGAGAGTGTGTTTACTTGGTGTCTATACGCTGTTATAGTTTGTATACATCTTATTTCTTTGGATCAGTAGTAGTTCTCTTGATTATATTAGGTTGGGCTATGTTGATGGAGAGGGGGCTTGGAAGTTCGGGGACATCACAGGTCTAGTTTGGTATATATCAATAGCATGTGAAAATCAAAGTCCCCAACGATTGGGAGTATAGGGTGGCTAGTCTAGACGCTTTGTTGTGGCTCAGTCTGCTAAACGCAACGACCAAAGGAACCCCGGTTTGATTCTAGGGTCGCCTAATAAGTGTACCTTTTTTTAAAATTCTCAATATTTTTGACTGCCTTGTTCTCCCGATTTCAGATATATTACAAGAAATTCCAACTCGTTTTTGTTATTTGCTTCCTGTTGAGCGGCATCATTAGGTATAGTTTCTAATAAGACATCACTCCTCAAATATGAAAACTTGGGAGCTTTACATCACATAATTTCCCACATATTGGGATACATCTACTAATACTATTACTCTCACTCTCACGTTTACCATTCCACCACTTTTAATTATCATTTACTTTTTGTGGGTTTTTTCTTTTCTTCCCCCCCCCCCCCCCCCAACAAGATAGAGGTGCTGGATGGATGCGCGCACATGCGAACGACTTTTTATCATTTCAGGGGTACATGGGTTAAAGCACGTAGGTATACATGTGCTTGGTTGCACAGTCGGAATTTAAACCAAATCCATTCTATAGACTTGGACAAAAAATGATAATTATGTTTTATGCATCAATTAAAGCAATATCACACAATGATTATCTAGAACTTTGTTAGCTCGTCACTTTTGAAAATGAGAACATTTTCAGGGCTAACGTCAGGGTAAAAATCTCTCCTTTAGCTTTTGGGTGAAAATAGCTCCTTGTGAAGAAATAGGCCGTATTTTTATTGTTAGTTGGAGTTTCTTCAATTATATGCTTCCCCTGACAATAACGAGTGTCCCCTGTCACCGGCATTGATATGGGCTATCCATTTCACTGCGATAAAAGCCTAAAAATCAGGCACAAGATAGGAATTTGTAACATCTGTCAAAGTCTGAATACCAGCCCGAGACATCTGATCCATTGCTGCCGAGGTGCCAGAAATACAGACAGGCCACCACAAGTCAGGAAGTAACGTCTCACAAGAAATCCAAATCGACAATAAGGCTTGAAGGCAACGTGCGATGGCGGTTTTAGGTCTGTCTTAAAAACACTTTCATGAAGAGTCGGTTTAAAATCTGGAGCCAAGTGAGTTCTCGTTAGCAGCGACATCTTTCGCTAGGTAACCAAACGAGGTGCCCAAATGCATCCAATAGAGGTGTACATAGGTAAGTAAGTACCTATTTAAGTTGCTACCTACCCTACCTAGGTACCATGCCACTCGGCGCTGTGTTCGTTCAGTGTGTGAACGTGTAACATGAATCTGGTAAGCCAGGGCTTTTGTGGTTGTGTGCAAATGTGAAAAAGCTTAAGGGTTATTCGAGTACAACCGTTGATTGTACCTATGTAGCTTCGGATGGTGTATGCTACGACGGGACGTTTTTGCAATGTCTCGGGCCGAACTTCTTAACTCAGTGAGACGATTTCCTTGGGCTGACCTTGGATTTTTATGATCTCGGTAAGGTAGGTAGATAGGTAAGATATTTTGCTTAAGGTACATATCTTAGAGACAGAAATACAAGACTACCATGCTGCGCCTCATACAAAGATTGGACTGCGGAGGGGATATTCTTCAAACGTTAGGTAGTGCAATGCATCTTGTTGCTCTAAGGGAGACGCAGTGCTCTGTCCACGAACCCAGCACTGACGACGGCATAAAGAACATAAAAGCCCAAAAATGTGACTTGTAGCAGTTTTCATATGTTTCGTCTTGCTACCAAACATCTTTCATAGATAGTAGTGACTTGTGAGTGCCGTGGAGGGCAAAAATGGAACAAAGGATGGATGGTCAGGAGTTACCCGAAAGGAACAACGACGGGAAGGGAACGGTTCAGAATGGTCTTTGATCTTCTCGCAACGGAATACAAAAGAACCTCGATAGGTACAATGGCCTTGAAAAAGCTTGGCGGAACAGCTTCCTCGCACCAAAAAAAGTGAAACCTCGTGTGATTGTTACAATGTCAAAGGCGCGGGACCTTAGATTAGATGTTTTCCCGCTCCCTCCTGTATGGCATTGTTAGACTTACTTTGTTCCCACCTTATCTCTAAACAGTACCCTTTCAATGTTAGATTCAGGGATGACATGGGTGACTGGTTGAGGTAGGCATTTAAATGCTGTTGATATGAAGCACTGCTTGATCTAGTCTACCCGTAAGATCTACACAATCTCCACGACTATTTCTTCTACTGTTTGTCTTCTTCATAATGCAGACTTTTGCGACTACGGCCCTGGCGGCCCTTCTCAGCATGGCCAACGGCCACATGATCATGAACACTCCCATTCCTTACAACTACAAGGGGACCAGTAAACTCGTCCAGGTCAACCCTCTCGGAGCCGACTTCCCGTTTCCTTGTCAGGGCAACCAAGACATCGTCTCTGTTACTTCCATCACCGCTGGCACCTCTCAGCTTGTCAAGTTCACCGGCGGTGCCCAGCATGGCGGCGGTTCTTGCCAGTTCAGCGTGACTTATGAATACCCACCACCCACCGATCCGTCCAAGTGGAAGGCCATCTACACTATCATTGGAGGATGCCCTGTCTCAGCTGCTGGAAATCTTCCTGCCGCGGAGCCCGACGCTGATGGGCGCGCTGATAGCCCGCAATGCGGCAACGAATCTGGCACCGAGTGCGTGCGGCAGTTTAACGTCCCCATTCCCCAGGATCTCCCCAACGGTAATGCCACTTTTGCTTGGACCTGGTACAACAAGATCGGCAACCGTGAGCTGTACATGAATTGCGCTCCAGTGGAGATCTCTGGCGGTTCCAGCAGCAACG